CTGAGAGCGTGGGAAAGGTCACAAATGAGAAGAGGCGATCCAGCCTGTTTGGTTGTTTCTGCAGTAATCAGTCAATCTCAGGATTTTATCCAGCTGTTTCTTGAAAGAAACCAAGGTGTTGGCTGCATGGCTGGGGAGCTTGTTGCATGCTCCCACATCCCTCTGTGTTATTACGTGCCTCCTGTTCTCAGTTTTACCTCTCCTCGTGTGCTTTCTGGTTCATGTTTCACGGTTGATTTTGAAGAGATCTGCTGGGTTGACTTTGTCAGTGCCTTTGAGGAGAGAGAGGACGAACTCTCCCTCGTCTCAACAAGTTGAAATATTAGACCACAGTCCCTTCCCTCTCTCTCTCTGCGATATCATATGCTGCCTCTTCCTCTTCCTGTCTCTGCTGCTCTCCAGTGCCTTCGGGATATACAGGGCCAGCTGGAAACAGGGAAAGCTATTTGAGATTGCAACTGGTGCAGCAGACAGCCTAGCTACGATTCGCAGTTGGGTTGTTCCTAGTTTGTACTTCATCTTTTAGGTTGCACCTGAAAGAACTGTGACCTCTGCCGTCTGGGAGTACTCAGCAGGGATCGTAAATACTGGAGCTGCTGCAGTGTGGGCCCTAGAGTTTTTCAGTTTCACTAAGAACCTCAGAACGAGACTGCAGTTTCTTCTCTCACTCCGAGACCTTCGGTGATCAAGGGCTGCTCTCTCTATTCTCTCTCTCTCCCTCATTCTCATTCTCTCCACTCCCAGGCCAGCTCCGATCTTGATCCCAGGCCCCTGCTGTGCTGGGGAAAAAAAAAACAGTCCCCTTTCGGAATGATCCTCATCTCTAATACAGTACGCATAGCACAACGTCAGCACATCCTCTACCTCTGGCTTTGAAGCAGGAGGGCTGCTGCTCTGTCTCGCGCACAAGTCTTACGTACAAGGCCCAGCACTGTAGATCTGAAAGAATGGGCTCAGGAGCAGGTGATGCTCATCTGGGTGGTCGTCTCGGTAGGTGCCCATGGAAAACTTACATTATATTCAACCAAGGGGCAACAATGGTAGAGCACAAGAAAGTATTTTGAGTTTATGATTTCAGATAAAATACTGTATGTGGTGAAAGCACACAGTAAAAATTGAATATTGTCAAATAGATTTACTGTGGTAAGGGTTTATAAGGGTAATACCCAAAAACACATTCAACAGAGACTTCGTCTTAAATAACATGGCAGGGCAGCTTGTTCCACACTCCCACAAAGAAACAGGGCAGCAATCCTCCCAGAGCAGCACAGTGGTAAGTAGACACACTAGTGCCATGTATTCTGTATTTAAGGGCTCAGACACAGAGCAATGCCACCTGCCAGCCTCGGTCTAAAGTGACTTTGCATTACTCAATTACTGGAGCCCCTCATTGTCAGTCATGCCTGGTATTGGTCAGTCATTGCTAAAACCTAAAGAGTCTTTTCGTCTCTGGCAGGTCTGCCTGTTTCCAGAGCCACCATTCGCTCTGGGTAATACATCCTAGCCTGAAACCTGGGGCTCTGGTTTCTGTGCTTGTCACAGTGCTGGTTCTGCAGGCAAGATGGTGCATTTCTATTCCTTCGAGTGGTCGAAGGATGAAACTTTTTTTGACTTCCTTACTTTTTTACCTCACGGCCACAGAACTGGCTTCATCAGGCCGACCAGGTAGGGGTCGGAGTCTCTCTGTGGGACTGTCCTCAGGATTCTGTATCTGCTGACCACTCACTGCACACTGGCCAGTAGGTACAAGCTATGATCTCCTAAAGTGCAGCTGGCTGCTTTTTATGATCGTATCAGGTAGAACACACAGAGCAAAGCCTGGTCAAATTTGTAGCTCTTTCACACATTTCTGTAGAGAGCTTAACACCCTGTGCTGAGCTGTGGTGTCACTGTGAGGCACTGTGGGTGTTGGTTGCAGGTGCAGGCGCAGTCTCTGTGTCTGTGTGAAAATCACAGTCTGTGCGTCCTGGTCCGTTGAGAGGTCGAGTCTGTCTGTGC